CTTTTGAGGCTTCATGATGATGATGATAATGAGTTGGTTTATGCAAGGTGTGCTAATATTATTTAAAAGAACTCCACGCAATGTTCAAAAGTACCCTATGGGGCTTATCCTTGGGGATCAATATCCTTGCGATTACTTATGTATGAATTACTAACTAAAATCATAAACAACCGCCTAACACATAAGCTCGATTTCTATCAACATATCGAGCAGGCTGAATTCAGAAAACATTTTAGTACCATAGATCACTTGCACACTGTAAGAACACTAATAGAAAAATGCACCAAGTATAATGTTCCAATTCATATGGCGTTCGTCGATTTCCATAAAGCATTCGGTTAAATCGAATTATGGGCAGTGCTTGAATCTCTAGAAAATGCACGTATAGATTTAAGATACAATAACATAATTAAAAACATAAACATATATGAAGATGCGGTTATACAGATAAAGCTGGACGAAAGCACAAAAAACTAATTCCATAAGACTACAACGGGGCGTAAGACAAGGAGACACCATCTCTTCCGAACTATTTACACTTTCTCTAAAAGACATTTTTAAGAAACTAGAATGGAACAATAAGGGTATCAACGTCGACGGATCATACGTAAACTACTTGAAATTTGCAGATCACATAGTGATTGAAGACCAAGGACGACAACAAGAAGCATGGGAAGACCTCCAAAAAGATGGGTAGATGACATAAGAGCAGTGGCAGTTAAACAGTGGATTAGATTAGCGCAAGATAGGGAAAGATGGAAGCAATTGAGAGAGATCAACATTTAGGAGTGAATGGAGAATGGTTGACAAAGAGATCCTATGGCGGAACCTTTTAACATTTTTTTCAAAAACAAATAAAAAATTTCCAAAAAATTATATAAACTATATAATTGCAAAAGATCCAAATACTGTACAAAATATATGTCAGTTGCTACAGAAGAATAAAATATCGTTTATTTTTTCTTTAGAAGCGTGGAGAGCTTCTGTTGGAAACAATTTCTCTCTCTCTCTTGTCGTTTCTTCATTGCTGAGGATCGTGATTCCCTATAATGCGGGCTGTCAATTCTCTCCATCTCTTGCGATTTTGGGCTGCTCTCATGGACTCGGAAAACGTCTCTCCAGTGGCTTTCTGTACTTGATCTGACCATCGGATAGGTGAGCGTCCTCGGCCTCTACGTTCTTCTACGTTTCCGCACACAATTAGTCTTTCTAAGTTGTCATTGTCTCTTCTCGCAATGTGGCCAAAAAACTTTAAAACATTTGCAAGACACTGAGAGGAGAGTCTGGTCTGAATGTTTAGCTCTTCGAGAATCGACTGATCGGATCTGTGCACCGTCCACGAGACGCGTAGCATTCGTCTCCAGCACCACATTTCGAATGCGTCAATCCTTTTCCTATCCTCTGATTTTATTGTCCATGTTTCGGCATCGTAACTAAAGATTGAAAAAACGAGTGTCCGTACCAGTCTCATTTTGAGTTTTTTGGACAAAGAGCGGTCCTTCCATATTTTTGACAGTCGACTCATCGCGTTCTTGGCCATTCCTATTCTTCTGCGAATTTCCGTATGGCAGGAGGCTGCATTGCTTAAGGAAGATCCTAGATACGTGAACTCGTCAACTTTCTCGAATTGATTTAGGACGCCTGTTGTTTGGAGGATATTCGCGTGTGGTCCACAATCATGATTTTTGTTTTCTGATTATTAATCTTGATCCCACACTTGTTGCTTTCGGTTTCTACTCTCTTTATCAGTCTCGACATCTCCTCTTCAGATGTTGCTATCAGTGTTGTATCGTCTGCGAATCTTAAGTTTGAGATCTTTTTCCCTGCAATGGAGATGCCGCCTCTCCATCCATCGAGTGCGTTCCTCATTATGTATTCTCCATATAAATTGAATAGGTCTGGAGATAGTATGCAGCCTTGTCGTACACCTCTGCTGGTTTTGAAGGTATCAGATTGCTGGTTTTCAATTCTTATTTTAACTGAGTTATCTTCGTATAAGTTTTTAATTAATAATGCCAAATGATCTGGAACTCCCATCTCATGAAGAACTGTCCAGAGAACTTCCCACTTTACACAATCAAATGCCTTTTGGTAGTCTAGAAAACAGATTATTATTGGAATTTTAAATTCGCGGGCCTTTTCTATGAGCTGCCGCATATTAAGGATTTGCTCTCTCGTACCCTTCCCTTTGACAAAGCCTGCTTGTTCTTGGGGAATTTGGTTGTCTAAGTACTGTTGCAAACGGCGTTTAATGATTCTGAGTAATATTTTGCTTGGATGGGAAATCAGTGAGATGGTACGATAATTACTACACTTTGTAGTTGTTCCTTTTTTATGGATTGGTATGCACAATGATGTGCGCCATTCTCTGGGCCACTTTCCGCATCTCCAAATTTTATTACAAAGTTTCCACATTATGTAACATCCTTTGTCTCCCATGTTCTGAAGGAACTCTCCCGTGATATCATCGCAGCCAGGGGATTTATTCTTCTTGAGGTGAGTTACAGCTTCTTCAATCTCGGACAGCAGAATTTCAGGTTCAGGGTTGTATTCAGTGTTTTCGAGGGCTGAAGTGTGGCCTAGATTTACGTGTTCTTCCCTGTAGAGCTCTGAACAATAGTTTTTCCATGTTTCCAACACTCTGTCGATATCACTGATGATAATACCATGTTTGTCCTCTATTGCATAGTTCTTGGGTTTAAATTTTCTCGCAAGAATTTTCACTTTCCGGAAGAGGTCTTTGGTTTCATTTCGATATCCGTGATTTTCTATTTCTTGGCAGATTTCAGAGATGTATTCTTGTTTGTCTTTTCGGCATCTTCGTTGAATATCTCTGGAGAGAGCTTTATATGTCTGTTGATCACAGGGGCCAACTTTAAGTTGCTTTCTTTGTTCAATCACTTTCCACGTGTTTCTGCTGATCCATGGTTTAATGCTATTATTTATAGATGGTTGGCGACATTGGTTTACTGTTGTTACGATGGTTTCTTTAATATCTGTCCAGGCTTCATCCACGCTTTGTTCTGACTGATTGTTCCCTATTCTGGTTAGTGCTGGTTCAATTCTCTCTTTAAAGGTAGCTAATTCGAGGTCCGTTAGCCCAAAGAACGGGGAGAAGCTTTGCGGTATGTTCTTGAAACGCATTCTGTAATCTGCCATCAAGAGCTGGTGATCGCTTCCGCATTCTGCTCCTGGAAATGTTTTTGCGTTGGTAATTAAAGACTTCCATCTCGAACTGATCAGAATAAAGTCTATTTGATTTCTTATTCTATCTCCAGGTGATTTCCAGGTATAGAGTCTACGCGGATGATGTTTAAAATGCGTGTTCATTACAGAAAATTTCCTTTGGTTGCAGAATTCTAGTAGTCGGTCTTCTCGCTCATTCCTATCTCCTAGACCCTATGGCCCTACAATCATCTTCATGTGGTCATCTAGATTCGTTCTTCCAAGTTTGGCATTAAAGTCGCCTAGTATCACCACTATGTCTTTGTTTGGTATTTTATCAAGTACACCTTCGAGAGCCATATAAAAGTCTTCTAGTGTTGCTTGTTCTGCCGTGGATGTCGGGCATATATTTGTATGATGTGGAGAATGGATTTTGAGCACTTTAGTCTCAGATGTATAATTCTGTCATTAACTGCATCATATCCATTTACGTAGTTCTGGAATGTGGGTGGTATTATAATTGCAACCCCATTGATGCTCTCTGTTTGGTGGCCTGAGAAATAAATGGTATTGCCAGAGGAGCTTCGGAAATGCCCCTTACCCTTCCAATGAGTTTCACTGATGCCAAGCATAGAAATTCGATAATCAGCAATTTCTCTCTCTATTATATGTAACTTTCCAGGATGTTGGATCAAACCTCGTATATTCCAAGTTCCAAATCTGTTGGTTTGTGGTAGAAACAATTTACCTCCCCAATATTTTCCAAACTTTGGGTATCGCGTCGTTAGACCAAGCATGACACGATTTCACGAGTAGCTTAAAAATTAAAAAAACACAAGAAAATAAAATTGCTTGATAATAAATATAGGCCATTCAACGCGTCTGAGGACTCGAACATGTCGGAAAACTAATGTGACAAAATTCATAGATAACCAACAAATTTTTTCAGGATATTTTCATTAATTGCATTACAAACATAAAATCGAAGGAAAGAAATGGATATGACGGAAGAAACTCTCTTGGTTGAGGAATTTGCGGCAGTCGACAGGTGTGACAGCGGACCAATTGCTACACGTAGCGCAAGACCGAGATCAGTATAACAATATTATAAGCATGGTAGTCGCCGACGTTCCGTAGGGATATGGCAGTCTACGGAGAAGAAGCATCACAAACAACTTTTCATATTTTCTGACGGAACTTGTTTTTCGATTTATCAGTCTGATAAGTGAAAATTTTCGGAAAATTAGAGGAAAACCGTCCCGGATTCAAAAAAAAGTTACAGAGAAAAGTTGTGATCAGACTCAGCCTAATAAAGCGATATTCAAAATTAGGAGAAAGTATTTATCATAACCTTTTTGCTATTTGCTAAACTCTAACTATTTGCCTAATTGCATAATAGCGATGAAATTTTAATAGAAATAAAAAAAAACGTTAATTTATTTTTTAATTAATACATCATAAGCAAATCAAATAAGTTAATTATATTTATTACTTACTTGATTGTGTTAAATGTATTATAAAAATATTTTTTAGCTAGTTTTCTTCGACTATAATATGAACCTTGTTAAAGTTGAATATGTATATAATGTAAAAACTGTAAGTCATACCAGTAACATTTTTGGTATTTATATTATTACGATTTCGTCCATAGTATTCAAAAATTTGGAAATCTGTTTATAATGTTAAATATTTATAAATCACTATAAATATGTAATAATGTTAAAACTAGTATTCTTTTCTGACCAGTCATTCATAGTATTAGACGCGTTTAAGCATTAGTGTTCCCAAAAGTATAAATTAATAGCTTATATACTAAATTTTTAATTTTGGACAAGCTGTGGGGCTTGTGATACCAGTGTAAATATCAGCCATGGCGTTGTTGTTTAGATCGGTGAAACAAGTTTGGCAATTTTCGGAAGAACTTTCGGGTAAGTAAATAAATGTATTTCTTATTTATTTTTAAGCATAATTTATATGGATAAATAATAACAAATTTGTAATTTTCAAAGATCTTAAATACATAAGAAAATTTAAAATCCACAAGGAAAAAATTCCTGTAGCTGGCTGCATACCACGTATCACAAAAAGAGGTTAGTCTTTGTAAATGGGTATATTTATTTAAAAAACCCTTAAAAGGGCTACATCAATAAAACAAACGTTTTCGGACCACACAGTCCATCATCAGGTTTTAAAATCGAAAAAATGCCTAAAAATAAGTATGAACCATTTAGTTAAAACAAACGAGATTATGAAATTTTGACTATGGTTGAAAAGCAAAAGATGGTTATACTTACTAGGTCACAATGCCTGAGCCACCAAAATACTAGGGTAAAAACCCTTTAAATTACATTTAGTTATAAAAGATTGTACATTGTGTTGTAAAATAACTGTGATGTTCAGTATTAAATTAAATTTGACTAGAGGTAACACATGGCTGAATCGAGTTCCAGAGCCGGTGAGAGAGAACCTCTACACGCGGAGAACAGCTGGGAACTGATTGACAAGATACTTATGAAGGATGACGAAAACAGAATGTCAATGCAACAAAAACTATATTAGTTGTACATAGTATTACTACAGCCAAAAGATTCAACAAGTTTTGATGATTTTAAAAATAATAATAATAACAACAATCTAGGTGTTGGGATTTAAAAAACTTTTTTATTTATTAATTTAGGGTATAAAAGATGTGAAATCAATGATGGTTTTATAGTCTTGATTAATAGAATGACCTGTGCCTTAGGCAACTTATGTTGCTTTTAGTCGTATGGAATGTGGTCTAAAAGTGTATTTTATGTTTGGATTAGCTTATATCTATGAAAATTATCCTTTTATGTTTATCACATCTAGGACAAGGTAAAAATTAAATAACAAATATTTGAAGCTAATATCAGACCTCATGTTTAAATGACTTTATTTAAGACTGCTCCTAAGGTGAAAAATTAATAAAATTAAGTTTAGTAAGATGGAAATCTACAGGCTGAAGAAATTAAAGTAGTAACCTATGTGATTGAATTTAAAATTGAAGAGGCTGGGTTCCTCAGAGACTAATGAGAATAAAGTAAAGGAAATGACTGAAGAAAAGGAGGGGAGCGGTTGAGGGAGAAAAGGAGTTATCAACAATTAGAGATAAAAGGGATCCTTTATACTTAAAGTATCTAGCACCCTGAACAAAATCTATTTGGTGGTATTAAATTCAGTTTATAGAAACCTGAAAATTGTTGTATAAGTGTGCTACTAAGTTGTTGACCGGATTGTGAATTTTAATAAAGTAATCTAGATAATGTTTGAGTGATTACTAAATTAAAACTATTGGATACATGTTTGACTATATGAATTGACTAAGAAATAATGAAAGAGAAACAAAATTGACAGGAATGTGATGTAGAAGTGACAGAGTGGATAAGATGGTGATATGTTGGGATGATAGATGTAGATGGTTCTGAAGTTAACATTGGGGTCGAAAATTTGTGAGAGGACGGTGTGGCGTATCTGTAGAGAATGGTTTTTAAAGAAACGCAAACATTTTTAATCCTACACAATTTTGTGTTTCTGTAAACAACCATTCTCTACAATATCGCCACACCTTCCTCTCACAAATTTTCGACCCCAATGTTAACTTCAGAACCATCCACATCTATCATCCCAACATATCACCATCTTATCCACTCTTCACTTCTACATCACATTCCTGTCAATTCTGTTCTCTTTCATTATTTCTTAGTCAATTCATATATCAAACATGTATCCAATAGTTTTAATTTAGTAATCACTCAAACATTATCTAATAATTTATTAAAATTCACAATCTACCATATTACAAAGAATCCTTATCTACCATTGTCCACCTTCTCTCGGTCAACAACTTAGTAGCACACTTATACAACAATTTTCAGGTTTCTACAAACTGAATTTAATACCACCAAAATAGATTTTGTTCAGGGTGCTAGATACTTTAAGTATAAAGGACCCCTTTTATCTCTAATTGTTGATTAACTCCTTTTCTCCTTCAACCGCCCCCCCTCCTTTTCTTCAGTCATTTCCTTTACTTTTATTCTCATTAGTCTCTGAGGAACCCAGCCTCTTCAATTTTAAATTCAATCACATAGGTTACTACTTTAATTTCTTCAGCCTGTAGATTTCCATCTTACTAAACTTAATTTTATTAATTTTTCACCTTAGGAGCAGTCTTAAATAAAGTCATTTAAACATGAGGTCTGATATTAGCTTCAAATATTTGTTATTTAATTTTTACCTTGTCCTAGATGTGATAAACATAAAAGGATAATTTTCATAGATATAAGCTAATCCAAACATAAAATACACTTTTAGACCACATTCCATACGACTAAAAGCAACATAAGTTGCCTAAGGCACAGGTCATTCTATTAATCAAGACTATAAAACCATCATTGATTTCACATCTTTTATACCCTAAATTAATAAATAAAAAAGTTTTTTTAAATCCCAACACCTAGATTGTTGTTATTATTATTATTTTTAAAATCATCAAAACTTGTTGAATCTTTTGGCTGTAGTAATACTATGTACAACTAATATAGTTTTTGTTGCATTGACATTCTGTTTTCGTCATCCTTCATAAGTATCTTGTCAATCAGTTCCCAGCTGTTCTCCGCGTGTAGAGGTTCTCTCTCACCGGCTCTGGAACTCGATTCAGCCATGTGTTACCTCTAGTCAAATTTAATTTAATACTGAACATCACAGTTATTTTACAACACAATGTACAATCTTTTATAACTAAATGTAATTTAAAGGGTTTTTACCCTAGTATTTTGGTGGCTCAGGCATTGTGACCTAGTAAGTATAACCATCTTTTGCTTTTCAACCATAGTCAAAATTTCATAATCTCGTTTGTTTTAACTAAATGGTTCATACTTATTTTTAGGCATTTTTCGATTTTAAAACCTGATGATGGACTGTGTGGTCCGAAAACGTTTGTTTTATTGATGTAGCCCTTTTAAGGGTTTTTTAAATAAATATACCCATTTACAAAGACTAACCTCTTTTTATAAGAAAATTTGAAATTAAAGAAAATACAAGATCCCTGAAATAGTTTTTGAACAAAAATTTTCGTATTGCTTTGCACACAGTTTCGTATCTATCAATCGTAGCCAAATTAACAGACATTGTCAGTGACAAAATTAGAAACTAATGATTAATTTTGCACACTTCACTGATGTGGCTAGGTTCACTGTCTCAAATTAGACTAACAGTTATCACTCAAGTTCAAAAATTTTGGTACATCTGAGCCTGCGAACCTCGTCTTGATGTCAACATTTTATTAACGACAATGTTCTTTATTCCTTCTTTATGTCTTTTCATGTCTAGCTCCAGATGTTTACCTTTGTTTCAGATATACGATGAAGCGTTATACCACGCTATCGTCATTGGGTTTCGTAAGCTTCGATTATTTGTATCTGCTCCACATTTGGTTCTTCTACTTCTCGGACCAAGTCCACCGCTGAATTACAACTTTCTAAGGTAACAAATTATTCCTTCCAGCTGTTGGATTTTTGCACTACGTAGAGATTGTTGTGGCTAGATGCTGACTAAGGACAGGTATTGTTGTGCAATAAGATTGGAAAACCACAAAAGAAAATATTTTAGAGAGTTTAAATTACATTGATGTTTTTAATAAATTGGTGGAATAGTCATTGCTAGCAAATGTTTTGTAGAATGTCTTCAATTCTATATTGTGGGAGCAGGTGGACGTTGTATTTGTTGTAGCAGTTGTTGTATTGGGTTAAGGACAGGGTATGAGTTGCTTCTTACTATTTTGTCTAGTTGTAGGTGCACTGGTATAAATGTTTGGTGAAGTTGTTGTTGTGGGAGAATTGGGAGTTGGAGAGGGTGGGCTACGTAGGGAATGTATCAAATAGTTTGTATTTTGTTTTATTTGAGATATTTGAAAGGTTCTGTAGTGTGAAATGTCATTTATTGGTGGTGTTATACTGTTTATGTTGATAGTCTATTGGTTTACATTGGATGTAATTATGTCATTATTGTTGGTGCGTTATAGAAGGTGTTGGACAATACTGTTCATTTAGAGACATTAGGAAGAGGGTTATAGGTGTATAAAGTTGCCTGTGACTCTGTAGCCTGGACTTCTATTCGGTATTGTATATTTTTCATTGGGTTGTGGTTTTTTAAGATACGGGATAATTTTATTAGGTTGGAAAAACTGTTTGGGAGTTGTGTTAGGTAATATTTGTGTGTGTGTGTATTCTTGTTCTGGTGTATTGTGTTTTGTTGTGTTAGGTGAAGGGTCAGGTAAGCTGGTTTGATTATAGGTGAAGCAGGTGTTTCTTGCCTTTTTTGTCTTTTTGGTTTGTTGTCAGCCTTTTCTTTTTCTGCAGTTTTCATTTCTTTTCAGCCAGCGTATTGATTTATCCTAGTCAAGTTCTTGCATTAATATGAGTAGTCCGTCATCTATGATAATGAATACTAGTTAGGACCTGGATGAGAAGGAAGGTTGTCCTCGTCTGTTTTAGGATTTGTATGGGATTGGGATGGGTTGATTTTGCATTTGGATCTCGTATTTTTTGTGTTTTACCTGTTCGTTTTATGTACACTTGGCGCCGTTTTTAGAATTAGGAATCTTCCAGTTCTACACCACTGCTGGTACTGTTTTTACTCATTTATGTTTTAATATAAATCGATTCCAAAGTATAAAAACCGGCTGGTGCCATGAAAGTGTCGAGATACAGACTGTTTTAAGTATAGGTACCTCTTAATAAACCCTCCGTTAAACAATTCTGTATTAATTGTTGGTTTTTTGCCATTCAAGACAAATTGTTAGTTTGGAACCATTATCTGAGATGTTTGAAATTGGTTGTTCCATGCGACCAGTTACACGAATCGCTACTGTTACGCAAGTGATTTTACTCTTGTGTGACGGTAAGTTGGA